AATAAAATTTATAATTTAAATAGATTTAGACAAAAAGTTTATGGTGTTTTATTAATTTTGTTTTTTTCCATTTTTTTGAAGGTTAATGGTAACGAACTGCTAAATTTATTGTTAATTAAATAATAATCATATTTTTTTAAATTATTATATAGCAGTTACTATTAAAACCAACAAATTATAGTTCACACTAATTTGTATATGCAAGTTACATAAGTATTTAAAAGCTATATTGCATATTTTTTTCAAATTATTTATTATAACATTAATATCATCTTTGTTTTTACATCTCGTTCAGTATTTATCTTTTTAAGATGAGTTAATTGATTTTAATGATATAGTCAAGTTCCTTAATGTTACATAAACAATTGCTATAATAATAATTTTAATATTTGTTTGGCTAATTAATTGGTCACGGTCATTCTGTTTATAGTAATAAATTAGACTATTCATTGTATTTTATAAATTCGGCTGGTTATCCCTTACGAAATAATTAATGCTAGAAAAATGTAATAATATAAATAATTTAGTTTGATAATCAAATGTATGTGGTATTAAAATGATAAATCAATGGATTTATCAAACTGTCATGTGAATTACTAGACTATACAAAATTTTAAAATAACACTAATATTGAAAATTATTTTTATACTAATCGGTATTGTTCATTGTTTTAATTTAGAACATTTATTATTATTGTCTAATGCATTGAACTGATTGAATACATTGTTATAATTTATACTATTTATTATTATTGTTCTTTGAATCGCACGAACTACACACTTTTTTTTTTTTATTATCGAAAACATAGGCACGAACTATACACTAGTTGTCAAATAGTTTATACTTATTAGTTTTACTAATAATCAAAATTTTAAAACGTGATACAATTATCTAACTTAGAACTATAATATTATTTGCCTATATATCTTATAATATCTTACATATATATGTGTATAAGTACTGTATTGTTATTGCTAAATGTCATTGTTAAATGCGAGAACAATGAACATTTTGAAATTTGAAATTTTCCAAACACGAGTTCACGTGGGTCGGTTCTTAAACCGCGCTCTTCTTTCAACAAAACCCACATGCCCTTCCACGTGTCTAACCCACGCACCTTTAGTTATGCCCCCAAAAATACAATGATGAAATATGTGGCAAAATACTTCCAAGTAATATAAACCAAAATACATACAACTAGTACAACACCCGTATATTACACGGGTGCTTGCTAATTTTTTTCTTAAAATCTAAAATTAATGAGAAAAAGTAGTTTGAAAATTTAAATACCTTTTATAAGATTATATATATTATTATATATTTATTATGACACTTTTTATTTGTGCAACTTACTTGTGTTATGTTATACTAATTTTTTTAATTTACAATATATAACTACATTATATATAAATATATCAATTGAGAAATAATTTTATTTTTCTAATGAATTTTAATAAATATTGTTATTTTTTATTATTATTATAAAGATAAATATAATTTATTTATTTCATATATACAATATGGATGTCAAATCGAAAATCATCAAAAGATGATTAATTTGATATATTATATATGTAAAATGGATAAGAAATACAAAAGTTATCAATTTTTAAAATACATTTATAATTCAATAGCTTATTGAAGGAAACAAATCAAAATTCAGGGATATATTAGGCACTTAGTGCCTCACTATGTAAAATTACAAAAAATTAAAGGGTTATATTAGTAAAAGTGATATTA